GACACACCACACTGACACATCACACTGACAAACTACACTGGCAAACCACACTGACACACGATACTGATACACTATGCTGACACACTACACTGACACACTATGCTGACACACTATACTGACACACCACATTGGCACACTACACTGACACACCACACTGACACACTATACTGACACACTACACTGACACACTACGCTGACACACTATACTGACAAACTACACTGACACACAATACTGACACACCACAGGCACACTACACTCACAAACCACACTGACACACAATACTGACACATTACGCTGACACAGCACACTGATACACCATACTGGCACACTATACTGACACACCACACTGACACACTATACTCTCACACTACACTGACAATATACTGATACACCTCACTATTCATTTTCTAATTCACATGTTTCTTTTCATAGAGGACTCAGCTACTTACTGAGTGGAAGACCCTCACGGGTTCTTTCACTTAATTAATAATAATATAATAATAATAATATAATAATAATAATAATAACAATTTTATTTTATTATTTTTTTAAAGGTTACCATATGTTTGTATTGATGTTTCGAAATAAATTTCATTGTTTTTTATCATACGAAAGAAATTCTCCGTAGAAAAGTCTAGGGAGACAACCAGCCATGTTTCATTATCTCTCAGTCCACTTGTTGTGCTCTCTTATACCAGGATACTAATAATTATTATACATTATTATATATAATATATATTATATATATATATATATATATATATATATATATATATTATATATATATATATATATATATATATATATTATATATATTATAATATATATTATGTAAATATTTTTTATATATGAAGGGTCGATTTACGTTCGTTATTAAAAGATTACGCTAAACCCGTAAGGTTATACATCTCGTGTAGAATGAGAGGAAATCAGGTTTTATCCCAGGAGGTGGAGAGATCTCTAAATTCTCCAAAATCGAAGGTTCTCCACCAGCGCTAAATTGCTCCCGCCTCCAATAAGTCTTGATTATTTTTACAACTAATGGGAAGCGCTAAACCTGTTGGGTTCATACAGTTGTAGGGCATCGGAGGTCTAATCTGGTTGATCCGAGGAAGGGGAAGTTTGCCTCAATTTGCTTGTTACTTTTAATAAATTTTTTATTATTATTATTATTATTATTATAATTATTATTATTATTGTTGTTGTTATTTGTATTATTATTATTATTTTCGTTATATCATCTTATAACGTATTATCATCTTATCATTTTATTATTAATTTCAATCTGGCTATATTATTTGCCTTTTAATTTTATTATGAATTTTTATTAAAAATATGAATGCGCTAAAACCCCATGGGTCATACAACACCAGAGGGAGGAGGGGGTGGAGGGGAGGAGGGGTGAGGCGAGGAGGAGGGGTGATGAGGGCGAGGGAGGAGGGGGAAGAGGGGTAGAGGGTGGAGGTGGAGGACGGGATGGAGGGTGAGGAGGGGGTTGGGGGCGAGGGAGGAGGAGGGGTAGAGGGTGAAGGGGAGGGGGAGGTAGGAGGGGGGGGAGATGAGAAGCAACCATGATGAATACAAACATGTGAAAGGCAAATCTAATTTTCTTGGATCAAATCTCCACCCTCTAGGGGAAAAGGGTCATTTTTTTTTTTTTACATCATTTTCCCCCCCTTTCTGAAAGGATTAAAAAAAAATTCAACTGGAGATTTCCATACAAGAAAATCGTCTACATCCTGGTCATGGATTTTTCACTGTTGGTTTTCTTCTGTAAGTGTTTGACCTCTTATAAACCCATTCGAGTCTCTCTACTTCATCTTATTCCTTCAGTCATTCAGTATCATACCAAAACCTGTACGAGTTATACTTCCTTCAGTAGTAGTAGTCACGAAACCTGCAGGTTATTATTTTTCTATTTGTTATATTGACAAGCACTTATACGGGTCAATTAGTGCTTGTGTAGTTGTGAGGGTACTAGTGAAGGTGCTGGAGAAGGTTCTGGAGAAGGTCCTGGAGGTGCTAGTGAAGGTGCTGGAGATGCTGTGAAGATGCTGGTGAAGATGTTGTGGTAAATATTACCTCTTTTCTTCCTATCCCTCTAAAAACACTTCTGAACTATAGACATTCACATTATTACATTCATAGGAGAGCACTAAACCCATAGGGGTCATACAGTGCCTCGGGGAATAAGAGGTATTCAGGCTTGATTCAAGGAATAGGAGCACTGGTCCAGTTTCTGATCCAGAGCCCCTCACCAACATCAAGGAACCTCCCTGGAGGTGTTCAGTTAGTGAAGCACCTGCCTTTAGTGAGCTTAAGGTATTTCTTTGCATTATATCCTTTTATACGTTATCGTGCTAGTGTCTCCACCTGCAGACCACACAGGCACAGTACAACTCTAAGAGTCATTAATAAAATGGGCGCTCGGCTGAAAGTATTAGTATTATTATAATCAAAAAGAAGCGCTAAGCCACAAGGGCTATACAGCTCGGCTGAAAGTAGACTCGTTTAATTTTGTGCTACGAGTTTACTGACAATATATTTGTGTATGTCTCTCATGTTTTCTGTGCATGTCATTTTCTCATCACTATTTACCTTTTGTTTCACTGGTTCTCCAATGTTTTATTTAACTAGGTAGGATTTTATTTGAGTCAAGAGGACACACTAAACCCACTGGGGTCATACAGTGCATGGAAAATGAGAAGAAATTGGGGTCGCTCATGACAGGGGAGATACAGTCCAGTTCCTTGGATCAAGAGTTCCTCACTTACATTGTCACCTCCTATAAAGGGGAGCTGTCACAAGAGGGATACTGTTTGCAGTAGAGTATTAGTCTGTTAAACACAGAAAGTGTTAAACCAGTAATTGTAATTCCTGTTTTAATTATTATGTATTATCATTAGTAGTACAATAGTAGTAGTAGTAGTATAGCATATTAAAATATAAGTGCATAACTTACATGATTTACACAGCACTGCATTAAACCTGTAAGGGGCATTTGGTGCTACACTGCAGAGGTGAGAGATGGTGCAGGGAGAGAGGTGGTACTGCTGATTATTATAATCCTGGGGGAGCGCTAAACCCCTAAGGATTATATTATTATTATTATTATAATCAAAAAAGAAGCGCTAAGCCACAAGGACTATACAGCGCTATAAGGATTATAGTGTCTGTAGGAGCGGGGAAGGACATGTAAGTGGTACTGCTGAGGGGCAGAACAATAGCAGGAAGGAGAGGAGAGGAAGCAACTGGCGTGGCAATTATTATTATAATCAAAAAGAAGCGCTAAACCGCAAGGGTTATATAGTGCACTGAGGTGGCAAATAAGTGTCAATTAAAAAAAAAAAAGCAGTCTATACAAAAGGTGGGACCACCACAGAGGATACCAGACAAGGTCATTGAAAGCAAAGTGTCCAAACTGAAGTTGTCATGCTCCCTGATGAACAAGTTAGTTGTTGAAAAGATGTGAGGACTGAGTGGTTTCAGTATAGCATATACAGAACTCATCATTAAAGTGCACTGGACGCCTCTAAAATCAAGGCCACAAAATAAGTTGTCCCTTGCACTGTAGGGCGCCCTTCAATCGTTTAGGAAGTGAGTAATGCACATTCTTCAGGATTTCATGGAATCAGTTTCCCCACAACTGACAGATGGCATCCTAAAGCTGTGGTAGTGAACTGATATAGACCTCTCTTCATCTCTATCCAGAGGTTATTAACAAAGGGTACCTGTCATGCAGCAACTGAAAACAGATTTTGTGTAGCAAGGAGCACTTGTTTTGCATAAAAACTGCTAAAGTTACCAGGTCAATATAACATTGTCTTACCGACAACATGCTATGGTAGGGTATTACTTTGGACATTAAATTATGTCAGGTGCCTTCCACCCAATGTTCTTTAATAATAAGCACTGTATTTTTAAATGAATTTTGTGTAATTCTTGTCTTCAACTTAGCCAATTCTAAAAATTATACTCTGAAGTTGATGCTCTATATTTGTGCACTCTTCCTCTCTATTTATGCACTTACACATCTTTTTACATTCTTGAATTTGCTTTCCCAAAAAACATGCTGTATTTGTGAAAGTAAGTCCTAACTCTGAGTATCCAATTTCTTTCTAGCTGGGAGACCAATCATAAAAGATTTTTTGTCAGCAGTATAATGCCTTTTATGATAATTATACTCCTTGGAGGACCACTGAATCTGTTAGGGTCACATAATACCCGAGGAATAAGACGGAATCAAATTTGATCCATCGCAAGTACATATCCAATTCCTTGAATCAAAGCCCTTCACCAGCATTGCAACATTTCCCTGAAGTTTATTATTATTAAAATCATAATTAAGCGCTAAACCAACAAGGGTTATATAGCGCTGTGCTTCCCTGAAGAGATAAGAGCAAAACGTAATCCAATATAAGCTCTCTCTGCTATCATTGTTTCACCCATTTTTTACAGCAATTTGATTGTCAATGCAAATATCAAGCTGCCATACCTGTGTGACATACCATTAATAAAAAAAAAAAACCCTCATGTATCTGGAAATTTTATTGTTTCCCCATAAAATATAATTAACAACAACAGGCACTTAGAAATACAATATATAACTGACTGCATCCCTGAACACCAGTGAAGTATACAGGAAAAAGTTTTTCTAAATTGTTTATACACTGCGCTTGGTGCAATGCTTTTCTTTCTAATATAGGTAACAAGAAATCAAATAATCATTTAAATATTGCAAAAAAAAAATAGCATCACAGCCCTCATTATTTTTATTTTCTTCTGCCTCTCACTCTGCATTTACTTTTGATTTATACTTTTTGGGGTGTAGTTCCTCTCACTTTATTGGTAGTTTTTACTATTTCATTATTTCTTGCTCATGCATTTTGTTGAACATTTTTAGTCATTGTCTTTTTATTTTGTATATCTATGCTTGATACAATTCCTTTAGACTTTTTACCTCTCTTTTTTCTTCTTCTTCCCTCTGCATTTATTTGTCTCAATATTTTTATGCATAATTCCTTTCTGCTTTAGTTTTTTCTTAATATCAGGTGTTTTCTTTCCCTCATCCTGCAGGATTTTTCTTGCACGTTTTGATATCTTCCATAAAAAGCTTTTGTAACATTCAATATTTTTATGCATAATTCTTTTCTGCTTTAGTTTTTTCTTAATATCAGGTGTTTTCTTTCCCTCATCCTGCAGGATTTTTCTTGCACGTTTTGATATCTTCCGTAAAAAGCTTTCGTAACATTCAACATCTTTCATAATCTCACTGAGCTTCTCCAGAGGGGGAGCATACACTGATGCAAGTGTATTTACAATTTTGCAACACATTTCTTCTGAGACCACATCACTGTCATTTGCTTTAATATCAGCTTTCATCTCTTTTTAAATTTACTGCGAAAATCATGTCCGTACTTCTCATGGCAAACAAGAGCACATAAAACTCTACTCAGCTCAGTGTGCACCGCTTCAATGCTTTTGCGTTCTAAACATATTTTTCCTGCAAATCCTCGAAGAACATTGAGAGTTTCATTTAAATTATTAAATATGGGGCTAAAACTTTCTTGACAAGTTTTTATATATTGTTTTAATACCTTTATAACACTTTTCTTATTTCTGCCAAGCTTTTCAATGCATTCTTCATACCAAGAACTGGCAAGATTTTGACTATAATCATACAGATTTAAAGGCATCCATAAGTTATACACATCGTCAACTTCATTCACATGTAAAACCTGTCTGTTGAGGTCAAACACATGCAGGACAAAATCCCTCAACTTATTGACTGGCCTGCGCCCCAGTAGGACTTCAACCATGGCTCGAGCATCACAACAAGCTGGTGTACTTCCAGACATGAGGACCTGAAAAAGAAAATGCTGGTCTTCACTTAATTTATTACATATCTAATTTATTTTCTACAAAACAATACAGACTGTTCATGTCATACACTGTCTTTAAATAGAACACTGCATATAACTGGTTTACCGCTGATGTTTGATACCCTTTTTCCCTTGTCACAATTGTTACTAATTCAATGGCAAATTACAGTAAATCCTCTCACAACACATTTCTACATAGTATGATTTTGGCTTAACTTCAATGAAAAACTGCAACATTTCTTTCATAACGTTCCAGTTTGATATTGCAAACTAAATCTAACAAAATAAAAATATTAAGTAATGTACAAAATTTAAGTAGTAAACTCCCCAAATTTTGATGATTTCTCTAGGCCACATGATGCCCTCCACAGCTCCCAGAGCCACCCACAAAGTGAGAACACATCACTGGACAACATTTTTCTTAACAAATAGTATGCTGGTAGAGAGCAACCATCCAGGGAGTTACTACTGTCCTGCCAAGTGTTAAATGGAAATCTGTAATTGTCTTACACAACGGTAGGATTGCTGGTTTTTTCTGTCTGTCTCATAGACACGCAAGATGAAAGGTACATTTTGTTACCTCTACTTACATTTAGGTCACACCTTTACAGGTATGTATATGTACAGTGGAACTCCGGATTTCGTACATACCGAATGTCATACGTTTCAGATTTAGACCACTTTTTTGGGCACAATTTTGGTCCAGATTTCATACCTCCACCCGGAAATCGTATGTATCAGACACGTCCACTCATATCTTTGTGACTCAGTCTGCCTTTGTTACTTGTTTAGTAAACATTACTCTGTGCACTCATCCGAAACATTTCAAAATCCATTGTTTTTTGTGCTTGCAACTGCTAAATAAGCCACCATGGGACCAAAGAAAGTTCAGAGTGCCAACCCTTTGAGAAAGAATGCGAGAAACATGATAGAAATCTCTAATGATTCTATGATATGTACGATACTACAGCAGCAGGAGTCGATAAAGGCTATAGCACCAGCCAGCAATAAAGTGTAGCATTAAGAGTGTAAAAGGATGACACGAAACTAACTCCTCCAATGTTGTTTAAGGATTATAGGCCCACTGGCAACATATGCCGCCTTGCGCTATCTTCCACCACCCTAAACCTCTGCCAGCATCTCCTCCAAGGTAAGTGTGTACTATAGTATACATATAATAACCACTTTATTTCTTTACATTCTCTATTACGTATGTTTTCATGCAATATTTCTTATTTACCTTGGTAGTAGGTTGGTAGACAGCAACCACCCAAGGAGGTACTACCGTCCTGCCAAGTGAGTGCAAAACAAAAGCCTGTATTTGTTTTACACGATGGTAGGATTGCTGGTGTCTTTTTTCTGTCTCATAAACATGCAAGATTTCAGGTACGTCTTGCTACTTCTACTTAAACTTAGGTCACACTACACATGCATGTACAAGCATATATATACACACCCCTCTGGGTTTTCTTCTATTTTCTTACTAGTTCTTGTTCTTGTTTATTTCCTCTTATCTCCATGGGGAAGTAGAACAGAATTCCTCCTCTGTAAGCTATGCATGTCATAAGAGGTCACTAAAATGCCGGGAGCAAGGGGCTAGTAACCCCTTCTCCTGTATACATTACTAAAGTTAAAAATAGAAACTTTTGTTTTTTTTTAGGTCACCTTGCCTCGGTGGGACATGGCCAGTTTGTTGAAAGAAGATTTCTTATTTATAAATTAAATACATTGTTTCAATGTTTTCCTGATGAAACTGTGATGCAGTGCAGTTAGCCTCACAAACACCCTGTTTTTTCTTATAATAATGGGAAGATATGTAGTCACAGCAGGAGACAGAATGACTGCTGCCACAGCCACCACTAATCACATACGTAATGGCATATTTCATTCATTCTAGAGTATATATCATGTTTCCATGTTATTAATATTTTTTATTATGTCATATTAGATGATAGTGTTGATATTAGCATCATATTCAAATATTTTGTCCTGTCTCCAAACAATAAATCTCCTCCCTCTCCCTTCTTCACTGTCTTCCATACGCCGACAAGACTCTTCAATAAACGTAAAAGTGATTAGCCATAGTGTTCATTTATCCAATTCATTGGTCCTTTATATTTATTTCTCATTGTTTTCTGTATGTAAAACTATAGTTATTCTCTATAAAATATAATTTTTGTTAATACTTTGCCTGCTGTATGTCCAAGCCCTTTGCACACAAAACCTCCTTTACCCCCTCCCTCCATCCTTTCCTAGGATGACCCCTACCCCTCCTCCCCTCCACTACAGATTTATACACCCTCCAAGTCATCCTATTTTGCTTCATCCTCTCTAAATGACCAAACCACCTCAACAACCCTTCCTCTGCCCTCAGAATAATACTTTTAGTAACTCCACACCTCCTCCTAATTTCCACACTATGAATATTCTGCATAATATTTACACCACACATTGCATTTAGACCTGACATTTCCACTTCCTCCAGCCTCCTTCTTGCTACAACATTCTGAATAAATGAAGAATGGTCATAACTGAAAACTGCTGAATTAGCAAAAGGCTGTAAAGCAAAGCACTGTAAAGCAGGACCCTCCTGTACAGTATATTATGTAGTGAATACATAATGTACTGTTCAGGAATACATGTTGAAACTTAAAAAAAATGTATTTTTACAAATTACCAAGGATAAATTACCAAGTGATAATGTGTGAGTGAGGTGAAAGTGTTGAATGATGATAAAAGTATTTTCTTTTTGGGGATTTTCTTTCTTTTTTGGGTCACCCTGCCTCGGTGGGAGACGGCCGACTTGTTGAAAAAAAAAAAAAAAAAAAAAAAAAAAACAAGGAACCTGGAATATAGTATAGTGCAGTGACTAATTATCCAACTGTTCACTCTTCCAAGCAAAACTAAGTTATATCATGTACTTGTAGAAATACAGATTATTCTCCAAGGGGGTGTTAAAGTTGCAGTTTTATAGCTGTAGTGTAAGGGCACTTCTGGCAAGACAGTGATGAAGTGAATGATGGTGAAAATTTTTCTTGTTTGGGCCACCTTGCCTTGGTGGGAGACTGCTGATGTGTTAATAAAAAAATAAATTCTCCATGGGGAAGTGGAAAAGAATCTTCGTCATAAGCCATGTGTGTCATAAGAGGTGATTAAAATGCCGGGAACAAGTAACCCTTTCTCCAGTGTAAATTACTAAATTTAAAAACAAAAACTTGCGCCTTTTGTTTTAGGTCCCCCCTGCCTCGGTGGGATACGGCTGGTTCGTTGAAAAAAATTATTATTATTATTACGTATTATTATTATTATTATTATTAAAGATAACCTACCTTAGTTACTCCATTCTCATTGATAATTTCCACAGCTGCACCCGAACGTTTCTGAATTTCTTTAATGATCACTCCTCTTTTTCCTAGGATTCTTCCAGCATCTCCATCATTTAAACAAAGCTTGAATACTCTGTTCTGTTTTGGAAAAAATGCATCAAATTGAATAAAATGTGTGCAATATGGTATTAGTTATCATTACAATTCAATGTAATTTGGCATTTCAGTTCTTACAGACAAATGAAGACAACAGTAATAAAGAAGAGGTCTGAGGAGAGTGAGCCAGAGAGAACAATTACAGCACTGTCATCCCTACAATTTCTCGTACTTTAACCCTTAAACTGTCCAAGCAGATCTACGTTCACATGCATAGTGCTCCAAAAGTAGATCTATGTTTTTTTTTACATATTTTCAAATATAACAAAAAAAAAAAAGAAACGTATATCAAAGTTTTTTTACACTTTTTCATATGTAAAAGAGAAAAGAAGATCTACTTTTTTACATACTTTCAAATGTTGAAAAAACATAGATCTACGTTTGGACAGTTTAAGGGTTAAATTCACTGATTTTATTATCCAGCTATTATTGAAGGGTTTCTGCAATAATTTTGAAAAATAATGAGTTTTCACATGGAAAGAAAGTCTAAAGGTAAACTAGATTTAACTTTCTATTTCAATTAATGTGTAAATGATAACAACAATGTGTAAATGATAATAAATGTTTGCTCTGCATTACTTGTCTTTATACCCACTTGCTGGCTTGTTGCCCCAGTCAGCAAATAATCTAGAAACAACTTACATTAAATGTAGGTGTGAAAAAAAATTTTACAAAAGAAAAATGCTTCATAGTCACCAAAACTCACCTCTAATTTAGGTCCTGTAGGGATAACATCAAATTCATTCGCAAAACTGAAGGGAGTGGAGTAGCTAATGACAGACTGGGTAACTTGAACGTAACTACGTTTGTAAAAATCCAGTTCACAATCATATCCGTAGTGCCCTCTCTTACCACAATTACAGCAAAATTTGTCCCCTACAGGTCGAGGTGTAGCTTTTACTGGAGTATTCACTTCCACTCCTGAAGTCTGGAAAAAAATAAAACTGCATACAGGTGTTCCTCGACTTACAATGGTTCGGTTTATATTTCAACTTTAAAATGGTAGAAAAGCAATTACTTTGGAGATGAAATTTAAGATAATTACCCAGCAAGAAAACAGCAAGTTCATAACGTATATTCATTTATTTGTTATTCAATACCAGTATTTAGCTACAGTAATCGTTTGTTTATTTACTTATTCAACGGCAGTGGTTACAGCCTCTCCTCACTTAACGACGGAGATAGGGGCCTAAGGCCCAGTCTGTAAACGATTTCATCGCTAATCGAGGAATTACCCCATACTGATACTTCATAAGTGTCACCACCAAAAATTAAAACATTTAGTTTTATGTTTGCTGGGAAATTCCTTTCAATCTGTTTATTATCAACAGTAATACAACATGATATAAGTCAATGACTTACTTCCAAGATATTCCAGGAATAAATAACAAAAAAAGGCACAATACCGTGACTGGAACGATACACAAATAACCCGCACATAAAAGAGAGAAGCTTACGACGACGTTTCGGTCTGACTTGGACCATTTACAAAGTCAGTGTGACTTTGTAAATGGTCCAAGTCGGACCGAAACGTCGTCGTAAGCTTCTCTCTTTTATGTGCGGGTTATTTGTGTATATTCCAGGAAACGCGTGCATAACTGATTACATACTTGGGGAAAAAAAAAATTTGAGAAAATCGCACTTTTTCCAGTCTCTGCATAGGATAAGAGTGATCTATAGTTACCCTTCAGGTGCGTAACATTTTCTCAGTCACTTTCTTTTTTTTTTATCCCTCTTTGCCCTCCACCCTTCAATACTTCTCTATATAATGTCACTTTTTATTAATTTGGGTGTCTTTATCATGCTTCTACATTATTTATGTTATACCTAATATTATTCTGGAATAAATATGGTAGGTAGATAACATTTATTGATAGTAATAGTATAATTATACAATATTTTATAGTGGGGTGAAGCGTCATGGGGAATCACGAGTTAATGACACACTGCTCCTTCTCCCTCTGCTGTAGCTCTGCCCACTTTGTAATGATGCCGAATGGTGAATGAAATGCGCATATTAGAAAAAAAAATAAAAATGAAACTCCAACATGATAACTTTATTTTAATTTGCATAATTCTTATATATTACAGAAAACAATAAAAAAGTAAAATACACATACAACGAGATAAGCTTACAGAAAAATACAGTAAATTCACCATTTAACATTGTTATGAGGTGGGAGGAGCTAAATGAGAGATGGAGAGGCGAGCAGTAGCATTCAGTATATGGCAAGTCGTCATGAGTGTCAGATGTTAGCCATGACACTAGCAAAATGTTGTGTAATTATGCTAATATTAGTAATAAAAGTTATCTATCTATTATCATAAGACAGATATGTTTTCTCATCTGTACCTCTGGTCTATAATGAAAGAAAACAGTGTTTACATCAGGGGAAGCACTCCTAGATTGCTTGTCATAAAAAAAAATGCAAAAGTAGTTTATTATTATTATTGCTATAATAATAATCTATAATAATAATAAATAATCCATCTGGAGCCCTTTAAATGTCATAAGTATTTTGAATAGGTTTGGCAGCTGACATTTAAAGCACTCCAGAGCGATTATTATTCATTATTATTACAGTGGACCCCCGGTTAACGATATTTTTTTATTCCAGAAGTATGTTCAGGTGCCAGTACTGACTGAATTTGTTCCCATAAGGAATATTGTGAAGTAGATTAGTCCATTTCAGACCCCCAAACATACACGTACAAACGCACTTACATAAATACACTTACATAATTGGTCGCATTGGGAGGTGATCGTTATGCGGGGGTCCACTGTATTACATGTCCGCCATCACAAATCCGGCAATCAAACACCCGGTTCCATCAGTTATTCGGCACTAATTTCAGCTAGCATAATTTCAAATTTCCAGGGTCGCCACACCAACCTGCTGGTACTGTTTAGTGGTGCTACTTGCTGCATAAGTCATTCCAATTTCTTTTTCTCCATTTATTGTTATAACCTGCTTACTTTTAGCCCTAGCATTGGTTACAACGAATAAAAGAAATGCTTCTCGTTGTGTAAAGCACCTACACAGTACATTGTCCATTAAATATAAAGTGGCTTTGAAGCCACTGTCGGTTGCCATGAGCTCAGTCTTGTGATGCAGGGGAATATGTTTTATATTACGCTAATATCAACACTATGGTTTATTTGCCAATCACAATTGATCTAATATAACATAATAAACAATATAAATAACATAAAAACACTTTAAATACTCCAGAATGAATAATATTTGGCATAATGCCAAGCAGTTCGACAGAGGTAGGAAGAGGATATGAGATACAAGTACCATTCTCCTATCCCTGTCTTGGGGGCTTATACATATTAAAGAAAACGGAGTATAGCACAGGGCTAACTGTGACATACACTCGTACTGCACCATAAAACTGAAACAAAAGAGCTATTTTCTCTACATAGATCATCACACACAGCAGCATGTATGTGTAGAGAACCTAGGATAACCCAAAAAAGTCAAAGTGGCTTATTTCTAGTACCTGGCTTGGTAAACAAGTACATTGGTAAGTGAGGAGAGGCTGCATTTATTTACTTATCATACATTCATATTTGACTTACAATATTTTCAACAATTAGTTTCCTTAGTTACCATTTCCATGTAAGCCTTGACTCCCTTTCTCAGATGTTTGGCTCCTTTATAATTTTTCACATTCTCATGAGACACCTATCCCTTCTTTTTTTAACACACCTGCCGTTTCCCTTTATATACAGTAATATTACACAATTATTTCAATTATGTAAATAGTGGGTTCTTTTTTTTTTAGGAGGTGAAGGTCAGTTTAGTTTTTCTTTTTTGGAAGCTGGTAGAAAGAACCACTACAAGAGATCAATTATATGAGAATGTACACCTACCATCCGACTTACGACCAAGCTTGGTTCCGACCAACCGGCCGTAAGTCGAAATGGACGTAAGTCGAACCTTTGAAAATTGCCGACATATTGGGTAGGGCATAATGTCAAAACTTTCCTATATAAACTACCTACATAATACTGTAATGTAATGTACAATCATTGTTTCATTCTTTTTAACCCTTTAATTTTTTGTTCTTTTTGGTTAATTTTTAATTTTTTGGGCCCCTTTATATTTTTTTAACTTTAGGAAAATATTTCTTTTTTTAAAAATTCCTTTTTCCCATATCAAAAATTTACAATTTATTTAATTTGAAAGGGGGTTTTTTTTTTTGGGGGGGAATCCAATTTTATTTTTCTTTTTGGAGTGGTAAAAAAACCCCAATAAAGGGAAGAAAAATTAAGGGGGAAACAATTTTAAATCCCCAAAAAACCCCGGGTTTCGGCCGGGTTGGTTGCCCCGGGGGTTTGGGTGGGTGGCGGAGGGGTGTTTTAAAATTGGGAAATTTTGGGTTTAGGGCTAATTGGGTTTGGGGGTAAAATTTAAAAAACCTCCTTAACTGAATGTTTGTCTCTTTTTAATTTTTTTCCATTTTTTTATCGTTTTGTATTTAATTATTTATTTATATAAAAATTTATAAATTATATTTTATTAATTTTAATAAAATATATTTATTTTTAAATTATCTTTTTTTCGAACTTTTCTCGAATCCCTTTTTTTTTCTTTTTATCCTTCCCCCTTTTCTCTCTTTTAATACTTCCCCCTTCTCTTTATTTCCTTTCCCCGGGGGGGGGTTCTCTATTTGGGGAATTTTTGGGGGGATTTTTGGGGATTTTTTTGGGGGGGGGGTATTTTTTGTACCCCCCTTTTTCCCCGGGGTCCCCCTTTTTAAAAAATTTTTGGGGGAATTTTTTTTTTTTTTTGTTTTCCCCTTTTTTGTTTTTTTTTTTTTTTTCCCCCAAAAAAACCCCCGGGACCCCTTTATCCCCCGACTTTTTTTTTGAAACTCTTTCTCTTTCTTTTTGAAACTTCCTATCCCCCTTCTTTGGGAAATTTTTATCTCTCCCCTTTTTTTTTAAACTCTCTTTCCCCCTTTTTTTTGTTTTCCTTCTTCTCATACCCCTTTTTTTTCTCTCTATTATCTTTTCTTCTCTCTCTTCGGGTATCTCTCTTTTCTCTCTTTCTACTTTTCTCTTTTTCCTCTGTTTCTCTCTTTCTCCCTCCTCTTTTTCCTCTCTCTGTATTCTTTTCCCTCCTCTCTTCCCTTATCCCCTTCCCCCCTCTCTCTCCTTTCCCTCCTTCCTCTCTCTGTTCTCTCTCTCTCCTTTAATCCCTTTTCCTTTTCCTTCCTTCTTCTCCTCTTTTGGGATCTCTCTTTTTCCTCTCCTTTTTCCTCTCTTTTCTCTCTTATTTTCCTTTCTCGTTCCTCTTCCCCCCTCTCCTCTCTTCTTTTTATTTCTTCTTCCTCTCCCCTTCTCTCTCTCTTTTACCTCCCCTCCTCTTCCTCTACCTTTTTCTCCCTCCCCTTCTCTCTGTATCTCCCCCTCCTCACCCCCCTCCCTCTCTCTCGGGAAATTTTTCTCTCTCTCTCTCTCTCCTCCCCGTATCTCTCTCTCTCTCTCTCTCTTTTCTCCTCTTGTACCCTCTCCCTTTTTTCCCCTCCCCTCTCCTCTCTTTTGTATCTCTCTCCCCTCCTCTCTCTTTTTATCCCTCTCTCTCTCTCTCCTCTCTCTCTCTTTTGGTATTTTCTCTCTCTCTCTCTTCTTTCCCCTCTTTTTCTCTCTCTCTCTTTTTCTGTATCTCTCCTCTCTCTCCCCACTCTCTCTCCTCTCTCTTCTGTTTCTCTCTCTCTCTCTCTCTCTTTTCTTTTCTGTATTCTCTCTCTCATCCTCTCTCTGTATCTCTCTCCTCTCCCCCTCTTCTCTCCCCTCTCTCTCTCTGAAATTTCTCCTCCCTTTTCTCTCTCTTTTCGTTTTCCTGTATCTCCTTCTATCTCTCCCCTCTCTCTCTCTCTTGAAAATTCTCCTCTCTCCCCTCCCCTCTCTCTTTT